CCCAATTTTTTTTTTTTTTTTTTGTGCTAAAGAAAGGACATGCACTAACAGAAACTAAAGGAGTTCATTACAAAAATGAATTGATCGAGCAGATTCAATAAAGCAAATAAACCAAAAGTCTTCCAATCTAATCGTGTAATTCAAGCTCTAGGTACCCGCCGCAATATACCTTTGAAAGGGTTAAGAAATTTGGTCTTATATCTGCAAAACTTCAAAAAGTGGGGGCAAAAGTTAAATGCCAACATTCAAAAGAGACACCGAATGCAAAACCTTACGCTCTCTGCCCACATCAGCCCAGTCAGAGTTGGGAACCAAAGTAGGAACTAATCGAAGTCAAGCGACCAAAATAGGGAATAAACAAAAGTTGAAGAATTTTATCTATAGCGCATGTAATATATACGCTGCTATACCCGTAATTTTTTTAAAGCCCCATTTCCCTTTAAATACCCTAGGCTTGCTACTTCATTCGTTGCAAATTCTCACTGCGTAGAATCCTAGGCTTGCACAACCAATTACCCTCAGTGTAACCGTCAACCTTAACAACTTGAAATTAGTCCGAGTCAGGCACCTGACATCTGAAGCGGAGCCATAATTTTAGGCTTATGAGTTTGGAATTTTAATCGCCTTAAGATGCTGGGTTCTAAATTAATAATTTATATATATTCAATGAATTTTTTAAAACAAATACAAGGTTTGAACTAAAGCTACCGGGTTCCACCGAACTTGCTCCATGCACTCTAGCTCCGCCCCGGCTTGACATTGCCATGATGTAGTGGGTGCTCCCTGATAAGCTTTCAAAAATCATCAATGCGTCGTACGTGGATGTTCTGATTAAGTAAATCTCTATCCCATATACGCGAAGACTTATGGACCGCCTGTAGCATAAGTAGCTCACGCGAAACGGGTCTAAGGTGAACAATCGGAAATACATAAAGACCCCATTAAACTTATCCAAAAAATATGTTTGAACACTTACACTAAACGAGTGTTCTTTTACCTCCCCTATTCTTGTTCGAAGTGAATTAAATAACACCTTAACACTATAATACCGGTCTCACAATGTGATGTGGTTTACACGAGCGCCACATCATTGCCACATCAGCGCCACATTAGAGCCATATCGGCGCCACGTTAGAGCCACGTCAGAAATTATCTAAATTTTAATTTTTTAACCTTTTCGTTTCTTTTTGTCTATTCACATTTTGTTCCTTACTCATTATTTAATACACTAATAAATCTCTAATTATTTATTAAATTCCTCTTAATTATATTTTTTTCATTGAATTCTCATCCATAGATACACTATAAATTTAAATCCCTTCGATCTTGGTTTACTCTCCTCTTTTCTTTTCTTTATCTAATTATTTTTATTTTTTATTTCAATCTTCAACATCCTCTATGATTTTTTTCTCTTCAATTAACCGCAACAGAGAAAATACAAAAAAATGCTAAATTAATTTCTTACTCCCTCCGTTTTAATTTATATGAACTTGTTTGACTGGGCACATAGTTTAAGAAAAAATGAAGAATTTTGGAATTTGTGGTCCTAAACAAGTCAAAAAGGGCCATAGAGTATTTGTGTAGTTATAAAAGCTTCTCGTATTTAAGGGTAGAATTGTAAGTTAAAGTAAAATTATTTTCAAATTTAGAAAGGGGTCATTCCTTTTTTAACAGACCAAAAAGAAAATAGATTCAAATAAACTGAAACAAATGGAGTAATTTTCAGAACAAAGAAAAATTCATTGAATAAAAAAGAAGAAGAAAGAAGATGAGGCAGATGACGAGAAAGAAAAATACTAAAACAAAAAAGGAAGAAGAAAGAAGATGAACAAATAGTGGGAAAGGAAAAAGAAAAAATGAAGGCTTGTGGGTTAAAAAAAATTAAAAGTTGCCCGATTTTTATTTTATTTTATTTTTATTATACATTATTAGTGGATCCACTTTTTAAAAAATTTTACGCGCTTTTATTTTATTTCCCTTTTCTTTTTCTTTCATATCAGCTTTTAGGGTATTATTTAATTCACTTCGAACAAGAATAAGGGGGTAAAAGAACACCCGTTTAGTTTAAGTGTTCAAACCTATTTTTTGAACAAGTTTAATGGGGTCTTTATGCATTTTGCCTATTTTTTTCATAATGAAAGATTTATTTAGTACTAATGTTTGAGATCGTGAGGAGTATTATCTAAACGTATGGAATATTATTTATCCTTTAATTAATTCATAATGACTTATATGTTAGTTTTTTAGATTTCACGTTAAAAATTCGGCAAAGTCTCCTTTGTCCTGATAACTATCCAAATTTATTTATTTGTCAGTCAAAGAACCCTATAATAGTTTATTTGTTTAACTTATTGGAATATCTTGAAATATTTTATTAATTAATTTGATATAAAATATTATTTATCCTTTATTTTATTCATAACCGTTTATACGTTCCCGATAAAAATTCGGTAGAATATCCTTTGTACTAACAACTATCCAAAATTTTATTTGTTAGTTAAAGAAACCGAAAATATTTTACTTGTTTAACTTATAGAGATATCTTGATATATTTTTATTAATTAACTTGATATGAAGTATTATTTATCCTCTATCATAATTGGTAGCACGTGCTCTTTGTAGTATAACACATGTAAGAAAAAATTGGGGTATAGCGTATGTAATACACACTCTGCTTAAACAGAGTAAGTTACCCCGTCAGCGTGTAGCGCAAAATTGTGCAACTTTTTTTTACCCCTATTTTGGTCACTGAGTTAATTCCTATTTTAATTTCTCGCCCCAACCAACCCCGCACCCCCAAATTCTCTCTTCATTTCTGGACTGTTCATGCATGAGAACAAGGTTGAACAAAATGGATGAATGAGGTAAAACAATAAATAAAATGACCAACATTTAAACATGGCAGCTAAAAAGTATGTCCATATATATCTACAAGTTATTGAACAAGGAGAGGAAGCACATTAACTATTGTCAAAGAAATGGTAAAATCCATTAATTAGTTTGATGAGGAATTATATTAATTAATGACTAGACCGAGTCGTTTTGTGTTGAGCTCAAAATCTCTTGGAGGATAACTATAAGTGAGACTATGAAGGCATAATCCACGTTTGGGTTCACTGTCATTATCAACTTGTCTCTTCCTAGCAATATATATTTCTTTTTCATCTGCAAACCCACAATCAATGAATTAGAAATACATCATGCATACTAATAGTATTAGTTAATAGTTATTGTGTCCCGAACATGTTATGATATTTCTATGACTATAAGAACATGTTATTAAATAAGCGTAAAATCAAAAGTTTGAAGTTAAATAGTTTTTAAATAATATAGTATCAAATAAAAAGAAAAAAATACCATATAAAATAAAATCAAAGGACTATAACGATACTTTATACATCTATTCATGATTTGATAGTCTGAATTTTATGAGAAGTGCATGGAATCAACATTCATTAAAAAAGGAGGAGGAATTATATATATAAGTGATGTTACCCGAGCTATTAGAGTGGATGATTGTCCAGCAAAAATATCACAAGTTGACTCCATGTAGTTGGTCTTCATCCAAAAATCACAAACTTCTTCTGATATATTATTGGCTAAGAAAACATCCAATTTTGTGGTGAATTGGAACATTGAAGAAGTCTTGGCACTAAAAATGAGGTCCTTTTTGTCTGTGCTGTCTCCCTTAAAGGCTTGCTTTCTACTATGCCACGTAAATTTCTGCATCATACTTACAACCATTATTAGACTGCCTCCAATTTGGGGTTTAAAAAGGTTCACACTTCATCGATCTAAAGAAGAAAATAACTTTCCTATCGAAATGAGAGAAAATATTTTCTAAAACGTTTTTCATCTTTCCTCATCCCTCCTCTCCACCAACCCCTAATATCGTCGCCTTAACCTTGACCCCTAGACTCCGATCTACTACTCTTCTCGGCCCTTACCTATTGTCTCTCATGGTATTTGCCTGAATTATATAGTATTTAAAAATATTTTTTGCTATACGATCAAACATCAAAAAATAAATAAGAAAATTATTTATTTAAAAAAAAAAAAATTCAAGGAAAATATTCTCCATAGTACCAAACACACCCTTAATGTTTAATTTTATTCTTCTTCAAAACGAACTTGATTGACCTCGTACGTACCTTGCTTTTTATAGTGACAAGTGGAACTCCAGCAGCATCAAAGACAAGCATCTTGTTGCTACGAAAGAACCCCAATACTTTTTCAATGGTGAAGACAATGTTGTCATAAGCATCTTTAACTTCATATCCATAGCCAGCCAGGATGTATATTTTCTTTTTTATGGATAGTTGAAGAGGCTGAGGAGAACAAAACCGATGACCAATCACAACTGTACCTCCTTCCATATTATCGGGTACAATAACAACTACGCTCAGTTCCAAACAAATTGAGACAGGAAAACAAGCTCCTTCCCTACTTGGTGATCCTAATAAAACCCTGCAATTTCTTTCTCTCGATCGCTTGTATCTTTTTCTTTTGTACTTACTGATTAATTAAATGGCTTCTTTGAAAGAATATGTTGGTGTAATTTTAGATCGCTCACACTAGGTTTACCTGTAGGAAGGATTATAAAAGAGGTAATCAGAATGGTGCTCAAATTCATCTATATATAACCTCTAGTAATATTTATATTGAACAATGGAGTCATGTAAGCATCATGCATGATTATACTAATTATCTTGGACCGAAGCAAAAGCAGTGAAAGAATATTCAAATTAAAGCAACACAAAGTTTACATTTGACAAGTGTGATAAAAAAAAGATAGTCCGGTGCACTAAACTTCCGCTATGCGCGGGGTCCGAGGAAGGACCAGATCACAAGGATCTATTATACACAATTTTATCCTATATTTATGTAAGAGACTTTTTTCACGGCTCGAAACTGTGACCTCCTAGTCGGCAACAACTTTACCAGTTATGACAAGGCTTCCCTTGCTGACAAGTGTGATAGTTTTGAAATTAAAGAATAATGAAGTAACATAAACAACATATATTAGGCTGTTTGGCTAAGTTTCTAAAATCTGCTTATTTTGAGAAGTGTTTGTTTCCAAAAAAAATTTTCAAAAAAGTATTTTTGGTGAGAATCAGTTTGTGTTTGGTTAATCAATTTGAAAAGCACTTTTGAATAGCAATTAGTGTTTGACCAAACTTTTAAAAACTGCTTCTTAGTGTATTTTACTGAAAAGTGCTTTTTTTTAAAATTTTTTTGGAGATAAGCAATTAGTGTTTGACCAAACTTTTAAAAACTGCTTCTTAGTGTATTTTACTGAAAAGTGCTTTTTAAAAAAAAACTTTTGGAGATAAGCTATTTTTTTTTTTGTTTATCAGAAACTGATTTACATTTTGACTAAAATAAAATATTTTTGACCCAAAAAAAACTTGACCAACTAGGCTAATAGACCGGTTGGGTCTAGCAATAGAAAAAATCAACTAGTAATATAAGATCCAAAGGTTAGAACGTAATCTTGGGATACGATACCTTAGTATTTCCATAGATTAATGAAGTTGGATGATAAGCCACGCAAGCAGGACTTGGCCACTTGGACTTTGAATCTGATTAATGCACTTTTGAAGCAAATGATAATTAAACATGGAATATAGACAAAGTCGACGCTGACAATATGAAATTTAGCTAATGTCATATTCTATTTTTTTTTTAAATATATAAGAAAAAGAAAAGGAAAGAAATAGGAAACTTACGACGTTGACCGATTAGAGGAGTAATACGTCTGACAACTGCAGCAAAAACCAAGGAAGGAAGGTCATATTAGATGAATTTCAAGTTCCTTATATAGTATAGTAATTCCAGGGAAATCTAAGAACTCGTTTGATCATAAATTTTGTCAAAATAAATTTGGATTTTATTTGACAAACACATGTTTGACCATAGATTTTGCCTATATTTTGGCAAAATTCCAAATCTTAAATCCTGGTTTGGGGCCAAAATATCACTATTATATTTTTTTAAAAATTATCCCAAACTTTGATATTTTATAAAAGAGTCTACTATTTATTATTTTATAACAATGTTGCTTCGTCTTCTCGGTCACGTGATAGTGTATCATGTAGTTCATTATAATAATGATAAATTTGTATCAAATTTATTTATGTTCAGGACTATGGTTTGCGATAATATAATGAATTTTATTGATAATGGTACTGTTGGATATTTGTAATAGTTTTTAGAACTTGTGGGTATAAGTCATGTTTCATGTTTTTCCAAAATAAAATTGGAAAATATGTTTTGAAAACTTATGTCCAAACACATTTTCATCTTCAAACCAAACTTCACCTAAATCAGATTTTTCAGAACAAATTTAAAAATCTATGGCCACATGCTAGCTAAATTGTTGTGTGGTTGTATTCAAAGATATGTTAATTCAGAAATTAATACTGAGGGATACTAATAAACCTTTTACCTTGATTTTTTTTTTTGTTTTTGTTTTTTGTCTTTGTATTCTCTCCTTTTATTTTTTGCCCAACTAATTGAGTACCACGAAACGTGTTAGATGAGATTCCTCTCCATTTCTTATTCTCTTCATTTTCTCAAGTTTTTACTTGGATGGAATCACATGACATAATTAAAAATTAAAGGTTGAGATTTAATTAACTTGAGCAATGTCTTAACTATGATTAGGATAATGAATATTTTCTTATCAATTTCTTAAGTTTCTGATAATTTTTTTCCCTGTTTGCTGAACTTCCATAATTCTTAAGTTTCCAAAAATTCTTTTTATTTTTTCAGTTTTCTGAACTTCCATTATTTCAAAAAAGAGTTAGGGTGTGTTTGGTATGAAGGAAATCATTTTTCAGAATTTTTCATGATTGGTTGTCTTAATTACTTTGGAAATGTTTTTCTCGTGAACTTATTTTCCTTCAATTGGAGAAAATATTTTCTCTATCAAGAGAAGGAAAATATTTTTCAAAACTCATCTTCAACCTTCCTAGCCATATTCCACATCTCTACCAAC